TAGACTACTCTTGTTGCCAACGTTTGTTGTTGGTTCGGCTTCATAATTTTGATATAAAGACATACCACGATGATTGAACGTGTAAAATGATGGCAAGTTGCCCAGCGTATCCCAGGACTTCTCTTGCATGTCAACCGTGGCACGTATTTCCTTGAAATTACCAACCACTTGTATTAAATTGTACACGACCACCAGCAGGCTGACCACAGTCTGCACGATTACCTATAATGGGAAATAATAGCATTTTAATATGAATCAAGCGTATTTTGTAAAACAGTTGTACTTACATCTACAGGTAGATGTGTCCAGTCTTGTTCCGTGAGCCGCAAATAGGTGCGATCTGGAAATTCACAAAATGCAATTTAATTGTCTCTGCTTCGGCTTACCGGAATACTTACGATGCGCAGCTGAAAAAGCGGCGTGCAATAAACTTATTAAACCAGTAATTAACATGATACGATTCACAATTTTTGTGCTCATTTTGCAATATTAGTTACTAACTGAATTTATTTATTAAATAATTATAATTTATGAAAATAAATTGAAGAAATGCAGAAACTTAATTACTCGCTGTCACACACTGCAATGAAAAAAATATTCTAATAAACAGCTGTTTTGTGTTAGGGATGAATGCTCGTTTCACGAATGTGGTAATCGATTATTGCTTGCTGTTAACAAGTAGTGAACTATGTAGGAAATATATTTGAAGTGCTTCTGTATTATGTAATTTTAATTTATTTGAAGCAGCTATATTTTTCTATTATTTGCTGAATTAATATAATTATTATATTGTATATATAGTATAGTGTAGATATATCACAAGAAATATAGATATAGTTGCTAGACAAATATCACTGGCATCATAACAACAGTGCATGTAAAACTGTCGATTTGTAAAATGAAATGAATGATTTATTTCTAAGTGCATACATACATACATCTTAAGGCTGTTTTGTTGTCGTATATGCTTTTTTATAATTAATTATTTATATATATAATTACTTTATATTTATTTCACACACTATATTACTTCGATAACTTATAAGTACTTCGATAACCAACAAAACTGTTTCTCACGGAAATGACATTATATACCGCCATTTTGTGTCAAGAATAGGAGCTTTTGCTAATTCGGAGCTATCGTGCATTATTTAAATGTTTGTTGTGGTTAAAATTATACGCTAATAATAATGAAATTGTTGAAAATGTACACTTCAAAGCAAATTATTGTAAATGTGATAAAGAGAGGGAGTTTAAAGTCAAGCAGTCGAAAAGAGATATTGTGTGAAATGGTTTGTATATTTAGCAGCCTTTTGGAAAGGCAAGTTTATTTTGATTATGGTTATCCTTTTAAAATTATTTATTCATAAATATATATACTCATTTACAGACTTATATTTATATTATTACTAAAAAGGAAAATATTGATTTACACGGGGAGCATATGCATATTTGGTTAAACATGGCGTGATTGACAGCTTTTGAATTGCCATAATGCAGTGTTTGTGTCAAAGGCCTGAAAGGTTAGGCGAGTAAGCAAAATGAATTAAAGGTAATTATAGTTAAAAATAGCTTGCATTTCAATTACATTACCATGCTAATTACATCGCAATTGTGCACATTGAAGTCGCCAAATTTTACGCAAAACGCCATTTGAACTACTATTTGTTACCTAATATAACAACTTGCTTTTATAAAACACTTATACGTACATATGTATATTAATCTCTAGAAATATCTACATATGGATTTATGCACATATATGTATGCATAAGTGTGCGCAACTGTGTGTAACTGACTCATGATTAAATATTTATAAGGGTAATTTTGGTTATTATTGTAAGGTTTATTTGCCTTGTATTTATGGCATATTAGTCAGTGAAGACAATAGCAGCTATAAATATTCTGCTATTGACTGAAAACTTAATCATGTTTATCGCCAATGCACCAGTAAATGTTTATACATCTTTATATGTGAGCGTAATGTAATGAACCGTTAGCTTTATATTTATCAGAGGGAGATAACCGTGTTTACCTGTTATTGATAACTGAGATATTGGCAAAGGTAACATATTTGACCTGTTGTGGCCCACTTGCTGCAAAGCTCATGCCTGCTGCAAAGTTTATGCCTTGAATAGATGTGCATGTATGTACATTTGCGAACATTATGTATGTTTCAATATATACATGTTTATTGATAACGTTTGGATAATCATAAATTTCCAACGAGATCATGTACACTATCTGAGTCAGTATACCCTGAACAGTGCATATTAAATTTGCTACGAAATTCGTAATATAAAGAAGGCAACGTCAGAGATCCTATATATGTCATTCCCACAACAGACGGGTCTACGTAACCGAAACGGATCTCTGGATCCTTATCAGGATCCTTTTATCAAGTCAAATACTGTCAAATCGGCAGAATTCTGCTGTTACAACAACAACAACAACCCAATAATTGATCAGCATGGCGAACTGAGTCGATACGATTTTTTTTTTCACTTTTGTGTTAAAAGAATTGTGCTTCCAAGTATGTTATAGCTGGGTTCCGGCATTCTTTCTTGATTTTACTCGACGAAACTTAAAGAAAAGTAATGTCACGAACACTTTCAACTATTTTTTTTAACCTTTCTGTAGAAACACTGTGTGTGTCAATCTTTTCAAAACAAACAATCATGGACACCAATCGCATTCCCACGTTCGATATTAAGTGTTTTCGTGGTGAATATCTAATGCATCCCTTACACATGCTAGCGAATGTCAAGTGGCAATCTCATTACACATTCATAATTTCAAGAATCAATATGAGTCCAAGGGTCATTAAGCTAAGCTAACATATCGATTTCACTCTTTTGAGTTAATTAATGTATGTTATCGTCATATATTATCTTTTAAAAACATTCTCCAGTACTTTCAACTATAGACACACAAAATATACCGTTATATGCAAAAAGCATATTCCTTAATTGCATGCGATACAGTTAACCAAAGACATATATACACATTTGCAATAACTTTATATAATCACTTTTTCCAATGCAACGTAACCCACTCATTTCGTCTATCAGCTGAGGAGCACCGCTCAGCGTGGTTTCCCAGCCAATTTGGCGACCACACGCCAACAATTGCTTCTAGTTCACATCATTACTTATTTAGTATGCACTGTGCGAGATAGACATCAGCATTTGGTATAGAGCCTTTGTAATTAACCTAAAAAAAGAAATGTATACAAACAACAAATGCATGCCTTTGTAGGTAAATGTGTGTGGGTAAATCTACTTGTAGGCTCAAATGTCGTGGGTCAAGCCCACGCCTCACAAAAATACATGACAAATAACTTTCATTATATTGTATTTCTTTGTATTTAATTTAATTGTTTTCAAATATTGGTGGTTACAAATTGGAACGGTACACGTATGATGTTCATCATACGCAGTGTCATTCGTCAAGTTGTGCAAGAGTTATCAAGTCAAATATTGGCTCGGCTTGATTGCTGACCAGATTAAATGTGCAGTTTCTTTGTTGCGCTTGTTGTTGTTGGCTATAGATTAAGTGTGGTTCTTTCCGTTATTATTGGTGTTGTGCGTGTTTAATTTTAAATGAATGCTGATAAATTTGTTTAATTTGTAATTGAGCTGCTAAGCGTTGTGTGCAAAAAAATATAATGATAAAAAATAAAATAATTTGAACTATAAATTGACTGTATTCGATAAAAAATATGAAAATATTTGCTACTGTACAGTGCAGGTAGAGGGCAGTATTTACAAGGTGTGCCAATACGCAAAAAATAAGAAAATTGTTTTTAAWAAAAAAAAAAAAAAAAAAAATTTTAAGTAAATTAAAATTAATAAAATAATCAAAATAAAATATTTTAAAATAGTTCTAAAAATTTTGTGAATAAAAACTAAATTTTTATGTAGAATTATTAGTCCCAACATTTGGATAACAAAAGTAAATGTGATAACTAAAAAAATAATATAATATATTATATTTTATAATTAGTGAACTTTAAATTTAAAATAATTATTTTGAAAAAATTACATAATAATTGTCTTGAAAAACTATGGCAGTTTTGTTGAAATTTTATGTTAATTAAAAAAGTTATTGGGTCGAGGAATGACTAAATTACATAATGTTAACAGTAATTAATTAAAATAAATTAAACAAAAAAATAAATAAAAAATATTAAATTATAAAATGAAAAAAATATTAAGAATAATATCAAAAAACTAATTAATTACTCCTAAAAAGTTAATTGTATTTCTGTTAAAATAAACTCACACACCCTGTAAATCTCATTAATCCACATTAATTAAGCCGAGTGTAGTTAAAAAAGATATCAAATTTAATTTCAGCACGAGTTGTGCAGCAGCGTCTGTCAGTAGCAGACAAAGTCAGTTATAATACTTTCAAAACGTTTAAAATATAAAAAATCCACAAGAAAATAGACTAAAAATGAAAGGTATCGTTTGGTTGATTTATGCTAGCAGCATAGTCATCATGCAAATCCAAGCTGAGGGTACGGGTATACTATACATATGTGTATTATATATAAATTGCTTGATAGTTTGCAAATCTCACGCGATATTGTTGCTGATTTAAAACTTAATTTTTTTTTAGTTAAAAATTACTAAAAATTACCCAACGGTAAAAACACTAATAACAATAAATATTGTATATTATTAAAAAGTGATCTTTTGATACTTACTAATTAATTCTTGGAATTAAAAAGGACTGCACCGGATCCAAGTGGGCTCCTTCGTGAATTTTGTTGTGAAGATCAGTGCCGATATTTAAATAAACTGAAATAATTTCATTTTTTCGTCAAGCATTTTTCGAAAACTGTTGATTCCAAATTTTTTGTTGAACCCCAAATTTTAATAGATTTTTCGGTTTTTAATTCAATAATTAAATTTTCCTTTATTATAATATAAAGTTTATTATCGGTTAATCTCGTAAAATGCATATATTATTTTAAACTGAATATTTTTTTGTAGAAAATTCTGCGATGTGTTCTATGTGTGTGGACCCCGCTACGCCAAAATGTGAAAGCACAGACAATACAAAGCTGGACAGACAAATCGATTGCAAGGAGCAAGCATGTGTTATAGCTATGGGTAAGTAAAGAAGCTAAATTGTATAAAAATATTGAGAATAATGATATACTAGTGTGAGCAAAAATTAGTAACACTTTTTAATGTAAATTTCGCACAAAAACCCATCCGTCGAAATATTTGTTTTTCTAGGTTGCTGTCAATGCCAGTGACATCTGTGTGTGAAGGTAACGTTGCGAAAAAACAATTGAGAATTTTAAAATTATGAACCAAGTCTTATTATTTCTTGTGGTCGAAACCCAAGTATCGAAAAAAATACAAATTTAAATATGTTGAGAATTATAACATATTTTAAAAAAATTTAAAAAAAAATGTTACAAACTTGTTTATAAAAATAAAATACTAATATATTTTGTAAACTATAACCTTTACATTATAGACAAAGAAACGGATTACGTATGTATTTTGGAGAGTAAAAGCAAACAGGGCTCTCAACAAGAAGTCGAAGCTATAGACGAGCAATTGCAAGCAACGGTACTGCCGGTGCCACTAGCTTTGCAAATGGTGACAACTGATGCAACTGACGGTGCGGCAGATACATTGAAAGAGACTGACAATCCCGCAGCTGTTGGTGACAATGGTAATGCAGAAGCAGAGGATAATGTACTAGTTGAGGAGCAGCATGTAGCTGCCGAGTCAATCGAAGCTCAACAAGAAAATAGTGATGCTAATGACAAATCCTCAGAAAAAGTGAAAGAACAGCAGCCAGTTGAAACTGAGCACAATGAAGATCAAGAGGTGGCGGCTGGTGTCGAGGAAAAAACGCATAAAGAAGGGAACGCAGAAGCGGCGCAAGTAAGTAACGCTGAAGATATAGCTGACGTGCAACCAGTGCAGCAAGAAACAGCAGCAGAGCCGGCAAATGAACGACCATCGCCGGATTATCCTGCTGATGCACCAGCCATTAATGAGGGCGAAGCAAATGAAGAAGTTCAGAGCCCCACCGTGGCTGCTGAAAAACCGGAAGCCACAGAGCAAACAGTATCGCAGAATACGAATGACATTAATGACGCTGATGTTGGTGGTGATGTGAACAAGGACTCAAATAAAGGCGAGGGTTCGGTAAACAATTATGACGAACAAAATGCCATGAATAGTGGTGTAACTACTGTGGTAGAACACAGTGACGATTCGGCGTCGAATGTGGGTGAGCCCGAAAAACACGCGGTCGATAATGTTGAACCACTGGGCATTGAATCCAGCGATGTAGTAAATGCTCCACCAACTGTCATAGTGGACAACACTTTGCCGCCAGTGAACGCGGGTGAACTCTTGAGCTGCTACTCCTGCAGCAGCACCACGGATGCAAAGTGTGCGCCGGGTCCTGGTAGAGCGATGAACTGCCAACCTATCGAAAATAAACAGAATGGCTGCTACACGCTGTACAAGGGTAAGTGAATTGATAATTATATCTACATTTTTCCTAAAGTTACGGCTTGTACGGACGGAAGGACAGACAGACAGTCACCCGGATTTCAACTCAACTCCTCTTGTCATTCTGATTATTTATATATAGTATATCTATAACCCCATATCTATCTCGCTTAGTTTTAGGTGATAGGTACAACCGTTAGGTGAATAAAACTATTATACTCTGTAGCAACATGTTGCAAGAGCATAAAAAACTGTTACAAAGTCATTTTAATTACAAATTTTAAAATCTAATTTTCACTATTAATTTACAAAAAATGTAAAAATTTAATTTTTGATTTCAAAAATATTTA